TGTGTCAACAGCGTATGACTAATTCTTTATTTTATTACCATTTTTCAAATGTCGTGTAATCAATTTGATTCTCGGCGACAAATGAAATGGCCACGGAGAACTTTAGTGAAGGTACACTTTATTTTTTTGAAAAATGGCAAAAAGGAGGGAAAATTCAAGAGGTGTGGTTGAGATGGGAAGTTGGCGTCCGAGTGGATCGAGGTCACGATAGCTCAAGTGGTAGAGCAACGGCGTATCAAGCCGAAGGTCGTGGGTTCGAATCGCTCGTGCCATTGACTTTTTTATTTCAACTGAAAACCTTAATTAATTGTAACTTATTATTATCTGTATGTATAATGAAATATTATATATATAGAAAAAAAAATCATCGCTTCTCACCATTAGTCTCATGCATATTTATCGGACGGATTGTTTTTCCACCTAAGTAAATCGATAAATGAAGCAATTATTATTCGCTTTGACCGGATGTGATTCTGTTAATTGCTTGTGTGCTTTTTCACACCGTCCGAATTAATCAGAAAGTATTTTGTTATTTATTATTTTGTTTTTTCGATCTGCATCGGCCCAGTTGTTACATAAAAAAAACGCTAGCGGAACGCGATCATTTTTAAAAATAAAGTTTGAAGAAAAAGTGCATACTAAGCGAATAATTACGAACCGTGTGATCGATGTTAATTCTTTTCACCTTCAAAACGGCCGAATATTAATTGGACGGATGGTTTTAAACATAGGATTAAGAAAAAATTCCTTTTTTTACGATCGTTCTAAATCATATATCATAGCAAAATGTACGAGATCTATAAGAAACAATAAATAACATTGGTGTACTCTGATTATAACCCTGTATTTTTCAAATTGCCCCATCCCCTTACTCGGAATTGTTAACCTATTTTCAATTTCTCTAAAACAACTTAATATTTTTTTTAAATTTTCCCTTCAAAAATTAAAAGAATCGGCTTGGCCAAGAATTTGTTAACAAACATCACTGATCACTACTTTCAAAAAAAAATTTTCTCATCCACCTCCCCGCCGTACCTAAGGGAGATCCCATACCGGCGGACCACGGCCACTAAACTAATTCAAATGGGATGCAAGTTTAGGGGATCTTATTGTGCACTGTACTTTAAAAAATATCACATCAATCAAATCCTCAAAGTATCAAAATGAGATTCCAGAACGCATTAAATTGGGTATCATAGTTTATGAGTTATGAGACTTCGTAAAGTCAATAAACATTTTAAAAATAAAAAGTTAACCTTGCTTGACGACAGTCTCAGAGAACGTGACACGAACTCAAAAAACCAAATTATTTTCAGATAAGAACGAGTACACTCTGCCCCATCGGATTTATGTGCTTTGAGCCCACATCTGTTAGGTAAAACGGAAAGTCAACATAAAAGTTAATCAAAGTTAATTACATTTACATTACATTTTTATCATAACCAAGTCCTTACATGGAAAGAATAATTAATTGAAAGATGTAACTTAGTCAGTTGACCACTAAAACGTAAAAGAATTAATATTTAATAAGCAAAAGAAGTATCACTTCACTAAACAGCTCCCCGTGGCCACTTCGTAAGTCGCTGAGAATGCAATCCTGATTACACGACATTTGAAAATGGCAAAAAGAGGGAAGGTTCAAACGGTTGTAGGTTGAGATGGAGAGTTGGTGTCCGCGAGGATCAAAGTTACGATAGCTCATGTTGAAGAGTAACGGCTTATTTAGCCGAAGGTCATGGGTTCGAATCCCGCTTTTGACACTGACTTTTTTATCTCAACCAAGACCTTATATGGAAAGAATAATTAATTGAAAGATGTAACTTGGCCAATTGACCACTAAAACGTAAATGAGTTAATTGCATTAGTACAGGCTAATTACATCCAAAGAAATAACCACATTGTGATGTACCAAACGCATATCGGCAAGCATGTATACTCCAAGGATCTGTCCGTGGACCCACCATTTATCCCGTATACAGAGTGTCCCGAAAACAGACGTCAATACTTCATGGGATTATTCTATCTATCAAAATGAAATCAAGACTAGAAAGGGACTAAAAAAATTGTCAGGTTCCTTCAACGTCAAAAAGCAGCGTTATCAAGTTAATGCTGAAAGTGCTGTACCAAATGCACGTCGGCGAGCATGTGTACCCCAAGGATCTGTTCTTGGACCCACCATTTATCCCCTATACAGAGTGTCCCGAAAACAGACTCAATACTTCAGGAGTTATTCTACATATCAAATTAGACAAGGAAGAGAGTAAAAATGTATTCAGGTTACTTCAACATACCTCATAAAATGTAAATCCTACTGGAAATTGGACTACGCCAGTGAAAAGGACATTGAAAATCCTATAAGATTCATTTGGTTTTATTGTGACCTTAAGCAAACAAATAACTTAGAAGATAAACTTTGGCGAGTTTCTAAAGCTGTTGACTAAAGTTTAAGAATTGATTGAAAAAAAAATTTTGGTTACAAATCTTTAAAAAAACAATTTTGAAACGTCTATTAAAAAATATTGAAAGAGCACAAAGTACAAATAAAAAACTCTTTTGTACAAAATTGTACATAACATAAAACACAAAGCTTAAACATGTAAATTGGGGGCGTCGGTGACCGCAACAGTTCAGGCATTGCCATACAAGGCGCTCATCACCGTAAGGTAAAGGACCCGGGTTCCAGCGGCCCTGCATTCGAACCCGACATACAAAATGGGCTTAAAAAAAAACACCAAACACCGGCACCCTGAGGGTTGATATACCTCTGCTGTTGCGAACCCTCTTTAAAAAAATAATAATACAAATGTAAATTAAGTGTTCATAATGTCCACTTTCTTTAAAAATGCAAGCCTGACATCGTTTCCTACAGTTTTGAAAACCCTCAAGAATTACTCCTGATCTCTTTCCCTTCTATGAGATCGCCCTTTTTCTTGACCGGAACGAATATAGTTCATTTTTCCTCATAATTAAAAATCCATCGGAGTTAAATTTTAGCACTAAAACGACAATTTTACATTTATAATAATAGATCTTTAAGAAATTAAGTTCGTGTGTATAAAGCGCATTAATAGGGGTAACTTTTCGAAAAGCTCCATATCTGTCAATATTTATATAAGTAACAAAATCTTACTTAAACTTTGGACAAGAACGAGAAACTCGTAAAAGTTTACCTTCTAATTGGTTTTGTACTTTGTTTGCTTAAGGTTACAATTTAAAAAAATTAAACTTAATTTTTAATGTTTATTCCCTTTATGTAATCAAATTTACATAAGGATTATTATTTTCTGAATTACGCGAGATTTTTTGGAATAAAGTTGTCAAAGGGTGAATTAATCTGAAAAGTAAAATGTCTCGAGTACAATTAAAAATCAGACTTTGGACAATATGGGCTTTTTAGGTCAGTTTGACATGTAGGAAAACGTCCTGAAGCATTGACGTCTTTTCACAGGATACCCTGTATATCGTGGAGAGTTTTAGGGCCGCCAAAACTCATTGGTCATCGCCAGCTCTCTCTTTCTACGATGTTCTATTCCTTTCCTTTTCGCATTTTATTTTTAATTATTCGTTCTTCTAACACAGCATCTAAGTTATATTCACTTACACTAAGCTTTGCATGTTAAAATAACCGACTTCCTAGTTTACCCATCCAATTGCCATCTTATCCCTTCAACGCTTCATCTGTCGAAAATAAGTATTATATATACATATATTTTCGACAGATGAGGCCTTGAGGTAGATAGGATGGAAATTGGATGGGGAGACGAAAGTGTCGGTCATTTTAACATGCAAAGCTTAAGAAGTAAATATATATATTTTCTTATTTTTCAAAACATGATGGCCTGGTTAGAATTTATTCATATTGCTCCAGAGAACTAGGCACTTTCGGGGTAATTGAAAAAGAGCTTTTTTCTTAAATACACACCCTGTATATAAAACACAGTGGGCCAAAAAACAGATAGTTGAGGTACACATCTGGCAACCTGTATGCTTTTGATTCCGTATACATAAAATATAAATCACCATAAAAAGAGATTAATAATTGTATGAATATTTGGAGGTCGTGAGATGCGCTCTGATGTGACATAGGTTTTCGAAGACCATTTTCTTTATCGTGCCAACATTTCGATCTTTATTGAGATCATCTTCAGGGCTCAAAGTGTTTTTTTTTCCGTGTAGATGTGTCATTCTTGTCTGTTGTGCACTTTCAACACGACAACGAAAACAAACACTTGAGCCCTGAAGATGATCTCAATAAAGATCAAAACGTTGGCACGATAAAGAAAATGTTTTTCTAAAACCTAGGTCACATCAGACCGCATCCCACGACCTCCAAATAATCATCAAGTAACGATCACTAAACCACACACAAAATAATTTGTATATTTTTCTCTTTAAAAACAGTACTTATGTTAAATCTTTGTTAGTGAAAACATTGGTACGTAATGATTTGAAAAATAAAGTCCTAAACCGAAAGAAAGTGAAATATGCCATGTCCAATTTCTGATTGAGCAGTAATCATTTTGGCTTCAGCCTTTATAAATGAAGATAATTATCACACAAGCTTTCTAATTGAAGTATGCAAGCACTTCCTTGTTTCTTCATGTCAAAACATGAGTATTATAATAGAAATTGATTTATTTTGGGACAAACTATATGCAATATCAGTTAAGGCTTACATAGGAAATATGACAGTCTTCATATTGCATCATATGAAAACACGCGTTGAGGTGCGTTATGAAGAAGCGAGTTAATGTTCAGAAGTGATGACAAATGTGTCCGATCTTTTATGCAATTACGAAAGAAGGTTTGTGATCAAGACGGCCAAAATGAAACGGCAAATCTTATTATTCGGTCGATTAAAGAGACAAAAGCGGTGGACGAAAATGAAGGCATTAGATGAATTACATCAGTGTACAAGAGGGTGAAAGGGGAGCCCCACTCTCTTTCGGGCCGGACTCCCACCCCGGCTTCTGCAGACAGAAGGGAAGACCGCCGAAGGCTTCTACAATCCTTCATTCCCAAACATCGCACAGGGGAAAGTGTTAGTTTTACCCATGATACAATGATCAGGCGGTTGGCGTTTCTTTTCCTCCTCCTCGCCTTCTCGTCGGGAGAAGATAGGAACACGGGGCCGTTCAACACCCCTAAGCCGGTGTCGAAGCTGCAGAACGCCTTGAAGACGGACGTCTTCAAACTGGGCCCCTCGGACAAAAATAAGCTCGCGATGAGAAACGAGACGGACTTGAGCTCACTTTTGGATATCTACAACCCTTACAGGCTCGCAAAAATTTGGAACGCCGTTGTGGACAACAATTCCACCTGCTATAGACAAATGGAGGCTTATCTCAAAAATCTCGTCGACGGTGACCTCTGGGCATTGCAGAGTAAGAGAAACAGATACAATACAATATACAATAACTTATAACATACCATATTTTACAAAGGTTGTAAAAGTCATTAGGACATAACGGTTGGAAATTATTTCAGGTCGGTGAAAGGTATAAAATTTTCAACATTAAGCCCTACTATGAAATTTGTGCAAATTCCTTTCAAAAGGCGACATTATTACCCTGTTTTACAACATCGTAATCTCGTCGATATTTGCCCACTTTATTTAAATTCATACTATGTCGAATAAATATTCTACATAGGCAATACATTGGTTTCTGAATCTCGCCAATTAATATGATTTTAATTTTCAAATTACTACTAATTTTTTTTTCAATAAAGAAAACAGCATAAATAAACAATACATAAACTAGTCAACTAACTTATCTTCACATAAACGTTAATTTCTTTAAATTCACTAATTTCGTGGTCCGCTTGACTAATTAAATCATTACAATTAATTAAGGTTTTTTCTTGAGATGAAAATGAGAAGAATGTCCGAGTGGATCGAGGTCACGATAGCTCAGGTGGTAGAGCAGCGGCGTATCTAGCCGAAGGTCGTGGGTTCGAATCCCTCTCGTGCCATTAACTTTTTTTCATCTCAAGAAAAAACCTTAATTAATTGTAATAAGTTAATTTCTTTGTTGTTGATATATAAATTTTCTCGTCTATTCTGTTGTAATGATAATATATTGAACATTATGTTGTTGAAATAAAAAAGACAAGCACAAAAATAAAATCAATCAACACTTAGGCGCTAATTATATTATCAAGTTATATTTGAAACCCTGGGTTTTTTGGTTTTTGAAAATCACTTTGTTTTTTACGAAGAAAAGAAGATTATATAGTAAATTAATTAGTATTTCGAGTATTTATTTGAAAAGATTTATTCTATTTAAAAAGAAGAATGTTTAAAATGTCAACGTAATCTGTAGAAAGATATTGATTAATGAATTAAATACGTTATAATTTCAACTAAAAAAAACCATATATTTCTTAGCAGGTAGTACAAGGTAAATGTGAAAAATCACTCAGCATTTTGTACGTAATTAATGTAACGTTATAAACGTCAAACAAGCTCATTTCCTTTTTTAATTTGTTAATTGTTATAATTATTTTAACAAATTATCATGAGATCGTGATTTTTGCTACCTTCGTGTTTTTTTCAGTAAAACGAAAAGAAAATGAGTTAGTTTAATATGTCAGCTCAATCAGTACACAGACACTAATTCAAATTTGTAAAATGGATCATTGGAAAATTAAAAAAAAAAATTTTTTTAAGCAGACTATACAGCCAGGTAAAATTAATCAGCATTTTCTCACTAATTAATTTCACAAGTTACAATGAAATATTTTTTTTAGTACATGTTTTTTCGAAAAATAATAATGAAAATGAGTTAGTTTCATATGTCTATTCAGTCAATGCATATACATATTAATGTTACAAAAGTTATAATTTCAATACTTTTATCAAAATAGTTTTATCTATGCAATGTAAAGGTGTGAAATCAATCAGCATTTTACCTATAATTAATTTAGTAAGGTATAATAAGATAGTTTTTTCCTTGGAAATTACGTATTCTCGTGAAGTAAAATTAATAAAAGAATTAAAAAAGTTTTTTATGTTCTGTTATGTTTCGCAATGTTCAGATAGTAATTAGTTTAATAATTTTGAAAAAGTGTTTTCTTGGAAATTTCTTATATCTTTCACTAATAAAGTGAGAAAAGCGATTCGTAACTCATATCAATCACCATATAAACACTAATTAGTAAAAAAAGTTAAATTATTACTGTATATTAATTATTAGTGTCTTTAAAGTAAACTTTAAACAGATTGACAATCAATCAGTATGTGGACATTAACTGAAAAACATTTTCTGTACATAGTATGTTTTTTATTTTTGTTTTTCTGAAGCAATATAAGAGTTATTTATTAAAACGCCCGCGGTTCCACAATAGAAAATTACTTGAAAATGCGAGAATAATCAATTATCATCGTCGACGTGACACAACAAATTAAATTGTCAGATGTTGCGAATTCGGTTAATTTAAACATAAAATGCACATTAGTATTTTTTAATTAATTATTGCTTGGTGCAATAAGTATTTTTAAAATACATTTTAATTAACACGTAGGTTTCAAAAATAACAAATATAATCACGTTTTTTCGGAATAAATTTGACAATAATGTATTGGTTTGCCATTATTATAAATTCAGGCAGTCTGACAAATTATTGTGAAGTGCTTAGCTTTTTCACCATTATTTTAAAAAAATGCTTCTAGTGAGTCATATTTTATTTAAAAAAGTTGACGAAATGGTATAACGGATAGAAGTAACAATGGTAATAATGGATAATACATAATATATAATAATTAATAATCATTTTGGATTTTTTCTTAAAGATTAGTTGTTATAAAATGTAATGGTTGGACCTATTTAAAAAATATTACCAAATACTGCCTTTTTAAAAATTTTTTTAAATTTATTTATTTGTAGCCTATACATAATTTGCCGATTTTAAGTTAACAATCAGACGTTTTATTCGTTTCGTTAACCTCATTCACATTTTAAAAACCAGTTTGATCTTTATTGTTCTCGATTTTTATTATGTCAGAGCGAATGACTATAACCAAATCCATTTTTTTTATTCTGGTGAAAGTCCATAAAGGTCTTATAAAGAAATTGTTCTTTCCATAAGTATTGGCGGGAAACACATCATCAGGACATTCAGTTTGGAATAAAATCGCAAACGGTTAGAAAAAAATCGATCAAGGTTTACAGGAATGAGTGAAAAACTTATCAAGATTAAGTTAACTTTTTATGGCATATGATTTTTTTTATGGCTTATGATGTTGTGTTACCATAAAAAGTAAAACACTAATTATGCGTAATCCAATGATTGCTCGTGAGTCGTTGTCAGGCTGGAAATTTTAAAGAAAGGACCGTATTTGATTGGTCTATTTAGGAAATTAATTTGATCATACGTGATATCACTGTCAGGCGCATGTCAATATGAGTAAATATGTTTTACCAAAAAGATTAGAGATATTAAATATTGAATTGATGGAATTCACGTAGGGAATATGCTGACCGGGAAATTTAAAAAGAGTCAATCAGAATTTTCCATTGAACTTTTTACAGTGTTTAACATTTATTATTTTTGGCATGCTGAAAAGAAGTCAATCGCTCCAAATGTAACAGTTTATAGTTGAACATCAATTTAGTTTTTCGAAACGGTCGATTTTCTTGGCTAATGGATTTTCTTAAATTAGCCTTGTATTCTATTTATTTCCCAAGTTTTTAGAAAGGCTTGGTATGGTATATTGTAACTTATTGGAAACAATACTTTTCATAGTTAGTGAAAAGGATCATGTTGATGTTGTCAGGAAATAGTTGTTAATATTTACTGTACCATACACAGATCCGAAAGAAATGGGCAAACTTCGAATGAAATGGTTTAAATTATAGTATGATAGTTAATACTAATACTATAATTACGACAAACTTTATTTTATTATAAATATTTAATTTTATGTAAAAACCACACTTAATAACTTATTTTTTTAAATAATTTTTTAAATTAACGTTCATTTAATTTCGGTATTTTTGTTTAAAAAAGTACTTTCTAGGATTTCCAGCATGTTAGATCGACATTATGACATTAAAAACCAGCCAATAATCCAAAACTTTCAAATAATCACGAATTGTCAAAATATCACAAATGTGACTTATTGTAACTTACCCATTCTTTTTTCCTATAGTTTTGAAATTATAAACATTCGGTTCTGGAATTATTGTACTTGGAAAATAAAATCTTTGATAAGGAACGAAATGTTCGCACTAATATCAAATAGAAAAAATCGTCTTGTTTTATTCCAATTATAGTTGAAACTAACTTATGCCAGTGAAGTAGTATACAAATAAAAGGAAAACCGCGTTCCTCTGAAGGAAACTATTTCCTGCAATATAAAGATAATTTAATTCACTGAGAGTGATAGATAGGTAGGTAGAGAGAGAGAGAGAGAGAGAGAGAGAGAGAGAGAGAAAGAGAGAGAGAGAGAGAGAAAGAGAGAGAGAGAGAGAGAAACAGATATACAGAGAGAAAGAGATAGAGATAGATAGTCAGATAAATAGAGTAGAGAGAGAGAGAGAGAGAGAGAGAAAGAGTTTGAGGGAGGGAGGGAGAGTAAAACACAAAAACAAAACGATATTGTGTGCCAGACAGATAGATAGATTGACAGAAATCATTAAACGAATAAATACGAACATATAGATAGATAGGTAGAAAAAAAGAGAGAATGAGATAAAAAAGTGTGTGTGTGTGTGTGTGTGTGTGTGTGTGTGTGTGTGAGAGAGAGAGAGAGAGAGAGAGAGAGAGAGAGAGAGAGAGAGATAGAGAGACGGGAAAACAATGAAAGATACAGGAGAGAGACATTTAGAATTTTTTCGTGTTGTAACCAAAAAATTCTAAGCCAGGACAAATTCATATTCAAAATAAATAAAACTACAGCATTAACATTAAAAAAATAACCTTAATATTAATTTTTTGAAATAATACGTTTTATTTGCGCATACGTTTATCCCATCTCACGTATGTGTTACTCGATTTCATCCTGGTCTTAAAATATTCTTCAATAATTCTCCGAATATTAGGTGATAAAACTAGCTTAACTATAAGGATCTAAATCATAAGATTAGTTGTAAGAAAATTGAATTACATTTGGTTTAAATTGTAAAAACACTCTTAGAGGAAATTTTATTCAATTTTTTATTCCCTGTTAGCTTGTCTGTGTGCTAATAAACCGATGTAATGACGCATTTCATGGTTTATTGCTAAAGATTTGGAGTTCCTTCTGGGCTACTTTTAGATGTGTGCCGGAAAAAGAATTTGGCTTAGAGGTCAAATTCATCGGTACTTTACATATTTACCGAAAACGTGGATGTGGATATTTTAAGATAATAGCTTCCGCTGAGAAAAAGCATTTTTTCGCTAT